TTTTTCTGGGGTTTTTTGTTGCAAAAATGCATCATGACTTTTCCAACAACTCAATATATTCTTATAGATAGAAACTGTAGGAACAGATGGAAGAGTTGGCTACAAGGAACATGCTTATTATCACTGAAAATGTTCCTCCTTTTTCCAGCTTGGTTCCCCAAGTATGGGGGTGGGCAGGAAATGCTTGTGACTCACAGCTTTGAGAGCAGAAATCCACATATGGCAACCACAGGCCACATTTTCCTCCAATTGCTTGAGTATTACACTCTTTAGGTAGGTGTAGGGATACTGTGTTGCTAAGCATCAGGCAAGAAATGGGCTGCAAATTTTTGGTTTCTGTTTCACAAATGCCCTAGTGGCACCAGATAAGCACACAGAATTCTGTGGTTATTTGGCAGATGGTGAGGGAAGGCATGAGAGAAAAATAAATATTTTGCATCTGTGGAGACTTTCCACTGGTCACTGGGTCAGGTGATGTATGAAACTACACATCCTGTTATTTAGTATATTATCTGTAAAATGCACATCCTATTATTATCCATGGTGGGTAATAATCACCCACTGTGAAGCTTCAGGAGATGTGGTCTAGTTAAGCCTGTGGCTGGCATCCAAGAGGAGAAAGAAGCTGTGCTAGGTGGGCACGCTGAATGGCCATCCCCGGGCTGGGCTGTAGGGGTGTGGAACCAGGAGCTGCTGAGGTTAGCCTTGACCAAGCCATACTGATGTCTCATCTGTTCTCCACAATTTCTTCTTTATCCAGCACTATATCTGCATCTTATGACAACTACCATTTAATCCACTTGCTCCTTTCCCATCCAGAAAATAGATACGATTTGTGTGGTGAGATGCAAATTCAGAGTTCTGAAATGTGCTTATATAACTGCATCAGTGATGAATTGGGCAGCTTAAAATGAGAAATATTTATTATCTCCCAGATTCTGTGGGTTGGGAAACCAGGTGCAGATGAGCTGGGTGCTCTGGCACAGGGTCTTTCACAAGGCTTCAGTAAGGAGTCAGTCTCGACTGGAGGCTTGACTGAGAGGCAGTCTGCTTCCCAGTTCACTCAGCTGGCTGAGGCAGGGTTGGGCTCCTCATGGGCTGTTGAACTGAGGAACTCTTTCTTCACAGGCATTGTCCCCAGGCATCTCTCAGTTCCATGACATGTGGGCCTCTCCATACGCAGCTCACAACATGGCAGCTGATTTCCCTCAGGGAAAGCAAGCGAAAGAGCAAGGCTGCAAGACAGAAGAAGCCAGAGTCTTTTTGTAACAATATCAAAAGTGACATCCCACGTTTTTTGCCATATTATGATCATTAAAAGTGAGTCACTAGCTCTGGTCTACACTCATGGGGAGAGGATTACACAAGGGCATGGATACCAGGAGGAGGGGATCACTGGCAGCCATCTTGGGAGCTGCCCATGATAACAATTATGCTTTTAGGCAATATTGAGTTATAATATCCTTTCAAATAGAAGAGATTTAAAAATTACTAACTTCACCACATCCCTGCCAGATAGTTCATGTTGCCCAGCCATGGAATGTGATCTTAAGACAACAGTGACACTGATGTAAGCCACTCTTGTAGCAAGCAACCTTGTTATACTATTATGGAAGCTTTTTTTTAGTGCTCCACTCTTTAATATCTAGAGTTCAGCCAGCTTTCCTCTGAGTTTTACTACAGCAGTCAAAGAAATGCTCTTGGTCACCATCAGAATCATAAAATGACATAGCTAAAAAATAATTCTCATGCTCACCTACCCCAGCTCCTCCACTGTACAGTGTGGACACAGACTGAGAGAGGAAATAACTTGTTCCTGGACACACACAGGCATTAGCGTGGCTGAGTCCATGTTGGGTTTTGGAGAATTTGATGTTGGTTTTAGGACAAGGCCAATAGCACTGCCTCTCTTGGGCAGCCTGAACCATGGATGAAGATTAAGAAAACTAGAATGGACAATAAGGTGAGGGAAGAAAATAGTGAAAGAAGAAGAGGGGAGAGGGAGAATTCTGAGAAAGAAAGAAGACCGCAAAAGAGGAAAGGAGAAAGGCTACAAACATATTCATTGCAGGTACCAGTGGAGGGCTCCATGACTTTCTGATGACATTCTGATACATCCATCAAAACACACATACTGAGCACACTGTCACTGAAAAGCAGCATGTGGGCTCTGGAGCCAGATTGCCCAGGCTTGAATCCCAGCCCTGCCACTAGCTTGTATGACCTCTGCAAGTTACTTAACCTCTCTTTCCTTGTTTTCTAAAATGGAGATGATACTAGTATACACTTCATAGGATTGCCATGGGATTAAATGAGCTAATAAATGTAAAGTGCTTGCAAGAGTGCTGGGCACATGGAAAATTCTATTATTATCAAGTGATGGGGAAAACAGACTAATGTTATTCTCAGCCCTAATCTGGGTTTGAGGATGGAGTGAAGCTTGGGATAGAGTACCGGCTAAGGCTTAGGGACGAAATGAGGTGGCAGTTACAGTAAGGAGATATGTTGTACATATTGCTAGCAATATGCAGTCAAATCAGAATGCCTCATGCCTCACCAAGCAAATCAAGTGGATCGTCCTTTGGCCCTTGCAGGCATCTTTCTGATCCTTTCCCAGATCGGTCTCCTTCCCCCTCCTGCTCTGTTCTTTTCAGCTCCTCATGCAGCAGCTGTTTGGTTCTTCCTGTCACTCATTCTTTCAGAAAACTAATTCCCAGCAATGTAGAGCTACAATGCAATTAGAACTATATAATAACTTTATATTATTACAAGTATTGCATAGTATCAAAATTATTTAAATTTTTTTTGGCACTGTCACTGTGGTCCCATTTCCTCCAGAGCCTTTTTCCTCTTCTGTCTTTGTTCTTTTTATTGAAGTATATATTCATTTGACAAACATCGGATTAAACAATTGCTTTTCAAACCAGAATTTGCTGAGTACCTATTATGTCCTCTCTGTTCAGTGTTTTAAATGGACCCTGACAATAACTCTGTGAAGTATTGCTAGTCTACCTGTAGAGATAAGGAAAGCTATACCTAGAGAAGTTGTCTTGACTGAGGTTCCTTCAGGTCTGCATTTCTTCAACAACGCCTTAGTGCCTCTGCATTCTACGCAGTCTGCAAGGCACAGGACTGACCTGAACCTCACCAGGCTCCATGCTCCAGGGCTGAGGCCTGAAGGAAAGACTCGTTCCAGCAGAAGTTGGAGTTGTTGTTTAAGGATGGTCTTTACAAGGTTCTAACACTGGGGGACACAAGCAGTGCTGCTTCAGTGTCCAGGGCACAAATCGTTGCACAGAACTAGGACAAGTACTGAAGAGCGCAGGGTGCCGTTTTCCCACCTCACAGGTTTCTTATGTGGGGTGTCCTGGGAAGGGATGTCAACAGGAAATCAGTCTCACAGTGGCTGGGTGAAGGGGAATGCTTGGGTGCAGAGCACAGAGCAGAAGAACATGCAGGACAACCCCAGGCAATACTGGGATGAGGAGAGAATTGAGGGGCCTGAACTTTTTTTACACAGGTGGAATTGATGAAGCAGTGAGAGGTGAATAATTATACTTATCGGTGGCTCCATTTGTGTTGGTGGGAAATGCGGTCACACAAAAATAAGACAAATTGTCTTCAAAGAAGTGAAATTTTGTGGAGTCAGACATGCAAACATAATTAAAATGTGACAAGTACTATTACAATAATAGAGACTCAGGAAATACTTTGCAGAGGAGGTAACAACTGAGCAAGGCTTTGAAGGATGAACAAGAGTTTTGCCAGATGACAAAAGATGGAGGGTTATTCTAGATAGGAGGAATCTCACACACAGGGGTTTAGTGTTATGAGAATTGTTTTCTGTGGAAGATGGAGAGTTAAGTTAGGGGCATATTGTGAAGGAATATGTCAGGAGATCTGGAATTTATTTTATAGGCAACAGAGAACCAGCCCACACTTTTTTTTTTTTTTAGAAAGGTAATTCAGAATGAAATTTGGACAATTAATTAAGAGGTGAAAGGTATCCAGAGTGTACAATTAAGAGATGAAAGGTGGCAGGGGTACTCAGGATTAGAAAACTGATGGGATTGAGGAAAAACTGTGCAAAGACCCGGTAGCTGGAGATCATAATACTGTTTCAGGAACTGTGGTTTCAGGAACAGGAGGTCATACGTGGCTGGGGCACATTGGTGGTGGGAGGAGAGGATGGCAGCAGCAGGAGAAAAAGAAGGCTGCTCACTTGTATGCATGATGCCGTGGGTTGAAGTGGCAAGTTCAAACTGAAGTTCGATTAGAGCAGAGTTGTCAGGGTCTTGGACGATGACCTTGTGCTTTTTAATTCTTGAATCCCCGCCCTAGTGCTGAGGCCTGGAGCCTGGAGCCTGGAGGTGGGGAGAGTGGACGAAGAGCTCCACAAATGTTTTCTTGAATTAAACTAGAGAACTGAAGGAAACAAGGCTGAGCTGAGTGAGAGCTGGAGCCTGCAGCAAATGGTCAGGTCGGTGATACCGGGTACTTAGAAGGCAGGCACCTCTAGTGATCAGGCTACAGACTGGATTTGATTACTGGGACCATACGTGCCCTGCTATGGATCTTGGACACCATCTAGGATGCAGTGAAGAGAGGACTCTGACGGCTGAACTATGTAGCCCGCAGCGTGCTTGCTAAAACACTACACATTTAGAAAATCTTAACTCTCGTTTTACATTGCAATTCATTCTCCATAATGCTCCCAAATCGGAAAATAAGCAAATTTGAACTATCCTGTTCTCTGGGACTAATTCCTAGCAGGAACAGACAGCATCTACCTTATTCTGATGGCTACCTTTCAGGCGGCTGTTTGGAGAGAACGCGTGCAAAAATAAAGAAAGAAAAAGAAAGAAAGAAAAACAAAAAGACATCCATCTCAACCATCCCACCTGGCGAATTTTTAAAAAATTAAATGTTTTAAAAGAAAACCACAGACGTTGCACAGAAACCTAAACGCATGAGAGTGGCATTTAAAAACCACCCATTTTCTGGAACATCTTTTGTAGCCAAATCCCAACCACCCTCGTCCCCGGAACCCTCCTGCCCTCCGTCCTCCGCGCCCCCTCCCCGCGACAAACCACCACCTCACACTCTTGCAGGCTGACGTTGCTTGGTGGTGGCGCGGCCGCTCAGGTGAGGGGGCCACCCAGCCCCATAAGGCGAGGGCGGCCGGAGCCCATTCGCTGCCGCCGCAGAGCAAGGGTGGGAGGGGCCGGCCAAGAGGGGAAGGGGTGGGGGAGGCGGGGAGTGTGGGATCCCGGAGGAGGGAGGGCAGACTGGGGGCGGGGGCGCGCCGGCTGGGGGCCGGCCCTGCTTGGTCTAGGTCGCCGGCTGACGCGCGCCGCAGTCGGAGCCTCAAAAGCGCGGGTGCAGGGACGGCGCGGGGCTGCCAGAGGCGACAGCTTCGTTGCGAACGGACAACATCTGCGCCCCGGCTCCCGGGCCGCCGCGCCGGGGCTGAGCGGTGGGCACCGCGGAAGAACGTGAGTAGCTCGGTGCGCGTCTGGCGGTGACACTCGTCCTGCACGGGGGCGACGACTGGAGCGGAGGAGGGCGCCGGGGGCTGCTGCGTTGTCACTAGGACACCGGCCCGGGGGTTCAGCGGAGCGCTCTCTCGGCTGGCCGCGCCGCGTCGGCTCTCCCAGACGCAGGGCGAGTCTTTTCGCCAACTCCTTGCTTCTTCTCAGGCCCCCGACCTCGCCGCGGACGCCCGCGCGAGGGCACAGCTGAAGTACCGCAGCCCGGACTGGCGCGGGCGGACGCCCATCACCTCCCCGGGTTTGTGGCCAACTTATGCCTCCGCGCCCCACGCGTTCCGGAAAGCCTGCCTGGCGGCCTCTCGGTGGAGAGCTGGGCCTGGAGAGCCTGCTGGGCCCGGCACTGGGCTTTCCGGGCGCGGACACCCGGCGCCGGGGGTCACGCCCCAGTGCTGGCCCGGCGAGGAGCGCAGGGGCCGGGCGGGCGCGCTTGGGCGTGTGCGCGTGCCGGTCCTCGCGGACACATCTGGGCGTGGGCTTTGTTCGGCTGTGCACCTGCGCGATCGTGGGAGCTCAGGGGCGAGCCGAGCTCCGCTCTCGCCGACCTGGAGAACCCTCGGGGAGTCGGGGAGTCACGGGAGAGACCCCCGAAGGCAGCAGGGTGGGGGCTTCCCGGGGGCTTTGTGGCCCTACAGGTGCGGGCCCCGGGGTCCTGGCGCCCCGCCCAGCTCCTGGGGTCTGGGACGCGTTGGGGCTGGCACGCCCGGGCTTGGGCCGGCTCAGAAGAGCCCCTTCCTTGACCAGGCTCCCAACGGGGGCTCTGGCAACAGCTTTGTCCGAGGAGGTTGTGTTGAGCCGGGGGTGGCTGCCGGCTCTGGAGCATCCGTCTCGCGGCGAGCGCCATCTGTGCCGGGCGCCACTACGGGTCCCTCCACGCCGCGCGGGTGGGCGCTGCAGCGCGATGGTCCCCGGCAGATCGCGGGCTCATCCATTCGCGCCCGCATCTGCCAGTGTAGAGAGGGACCGAGCTAGGGAGTCGTCATTTCTCGCAGAGCGGTGTACAGCCGGCAGCAAGCGCAGCCAGAAGGATGCCTGGGCCCGAGGGGCTGGAGAGCAGGCCACTTCCTTTCCCTCCGGATCGTCTCCCCGTCTCCCCGCCTACCCGGCTCCCGGCCGCGGCTGCATCTTCCAACCCCGGGGCGCTGAGGGCGCGGAGGGAGGGCGCCGAGCGGCGGTGTCTTTTTCCCACCCCGCCTCTCTCCAGCCTTGTCGCAACTGCAGCTTCAGCCTAGGCGACATCCGGCGCGGAGCTGTCTGTCCCGAGAGGGAAGCGTTCTTTTTCTGCCGGGTCCCGCTAGGTTGACAGGATAAGGTGCGGTTCCGAGGGTCTGGACCCTTCCTCGCCCCAGGCTCTTGCAAGAAGAGATGGAGGCGAGGGTAATGGTGCAGGAGGCATTCGTGCTGCCCCAGGAGCTCTCCCTGGGGGCTATCCTGGGAAGGAACACGGTAGCCGCTGAACACAAACCTACAGAGGCTGAGCTGATTTGTTTGGGACTCCTTTACGTTAACCGTGTTCTGTTATTGAAATATTGTAATGTTAGCTCACGAGTAAATGAGACCTTCCAGAAGTACTGAAGTGGATTTGGACAATTGAATACTTCTACTTTCATGACAGTCAGCATTTTTTGAAGAGCTTCAAATGTGCTTTGCATCTTCCATGTATCATCTCAATTTCCAGAACAACCCTATTTTAAAAATTGGGAGATGGAGACTTACAGAAATCAAGTAATTTTCCCAAAGCCACAAATCTAGGAAGTGGGGGAGCGAGGGTCAGCTTTTTGCCCCTACACTTTGCCATCCAAGACAGAAAATGTGGCCGTCTGGAGGCTTATCATTAGGGGAAGCCTAAAACCACCAAGTGCTCAAAATCGGGGACTAATTATCAGCCCATTTAAGTCTGACCCCTGCAGACCTCCAGTAGCAGGCAATATAGTAATTCAGAGAATTGTATTGTGGACTAGCCTTTGATTGCCCTGGAGTTCCTTTACAAATTCCTTTTACTCCAGTTAGCTTTTAAGTACTTGGCTGTTAATCCGGCGATCCAACCAGTTACAGTCACTGGAGTGTTTTTAGTGACCAGACGTCCCCTGTGAATACCTACAGGCCGAGAGGCTCCTGGCACATCACAAGTTTTAAGAAAACTTTTTTTTTTTTTTTTTTAAGAAAAGGCAAATGTTTCCATTTGGCAAACGTTACTATTTCAGGCCCCCAGACCTGAATCTCCTTTGTACCTTCTTCTGACTGGCGAAGACTTGCTCCTTAAATTGGATGTTGAAATTAAATAGGACGCTAGTATAAAATCTTAGGAAAGCATTCAGCATCCTAAATATATAAGACTGTGTGGTGCATTTACGAAAATGTTCCATGTTAACTAGTAGAAACAATCTGAACTAAAGTGAAATCAGCTATTCCTGGAATAGCTTTTAGAATGATTATAATTTACTGATGAATTGGAAATATGAGTTCCAGATCCTCCTGACTCGTGGTCTTCAATCAGCCTGCTTTTACTTTATTACAGGTGCTAAACATTTAACATAATCCAGGAATTTTAGATGTAAGAGAACACTATCTAAACCTTTGGGTTTCAAAATGAGTACAGTGGGCTCTGAGAGGTTACCCAGCCCTCCAGTGCCGTGTAGTGATGGTGTCTGGATGGTAGGCCAGAGCTCTTACACCACATCATTTGGTTATTGCATCAGTGAGGGCAAATGAAAAGCAAGTCATCTTTGGAAATGGTACTTCCTTTGAGTTTGATGTGACATTGACAATAATAGTTGGGTGTGAGTGCTTCAGAAGCATGAGCGGGTAATGAGGGTGTATACACCTGGGGTGTAGAAAATTTCCTTAAGAGTTATTTCAAATAATGCTTTTGTGTTGGTGTAGTTTTCCTTGTGTGATTGGTTGAATATACATAGAATCTGCAGATGTTATATTGTGTATGTAGAAAGGAGCTATTTCATAGAACCTCACAGGAAGCTTTTCTGATGAAGAGACTCATTCATTCATTCATTCATTCTTTCATCACTATTGACTGATCTCATGGCCTACTGGTCTAGGCACTGGGGATACAGTCGTGAGCAAAACAGTTCCTGTCCTTGGGGGATATTAATTCTAATTTTATACTACATACTTCCACACACACACAGATTCTATTCCATTGATCCATGTGTCTATTTTTATACATACCATGCTGTTTTGATTACTATGGCCTTGTAGTATAGTTTGATATCAGCTAGCATGATAGCTTCAGCCTTGTTCTTCTTTCTCAGGATTGGCGTGGATAATTGGGGTCTTTAATGGTTTCACATAAATGTTAGGATTATTTGTTCTAGTTCTGTGAAAAATGCCATTGTTTTTTTGATAGGGATTGCACTGAATCTACATATGGCTTTGGATTGTATGGACATTTTAATGATGTTAAGTCTTCCTATCCATGAGCATGGTATATGCTTTCATTTCTTTGTATCTTCTTCAATTTCTTTTTTCAGTGTCTTATACTTTTCCAAGTACAGGTCTTTTACCGCTTTGGTTAAATTTATTTCTAAGTATTTTTTTATGCAGTTTTAAGTGGAATTGTTTTTTTAATTTATTTTTCTGATAGTTTGCTATTGGTGTATAAAAATGCAACCAACTTCTGAATATTAATTTTGTATCCAGCTACTTTTCTAAATTCATTTATCAGTTCTCATAGTTTTTTGGTGAAATCTTTAGGGTTCTTTCTATATAGTATCACATTATCTGCAAATAATGGCAGTTTTTCTTCTTCCTTCCCAATTTGGATATCTTTTATTTCTTTTTCTTGTCTAATTGCTATGGCTAGAACTTTCAGTACTATGTTGTAAGTGGGCATCCTTGTCTTGTTCATGATCTTAAGGAGAATGCTTTTAGCATTTCCCTATTGAGTATGATCTTAGCTATGGGTTTGTTAAATATGGCCTTTATTATGTTGAGATATGTTTCCTCTATTCCCACTTTGCTGAGAGTTTTAATCATAAATGGATACTGGATTTTGTCAAATGCTTTTTCTGCATCTATTGATATGATCATATGATTTTTATTTTTCATTTTGTTTATGTGGTGTATCTCATTAATTGATTTGCAGCTATTGAACCA